CTTGTTGTATCACTTTCTCTTATAATGTGTTCCTCCTGAATCTCACCTGATAACTGCAGAATGTTCCACTCATATTTATCCAATTACTCAAACATTCATGGTTTTCATTATGATACAGTGCATACTTTCAATTTTTATTTCTGTTACCCTAAGAATTCATAAAAGTTTATAGTTCTTCAGTTGGATAGATTTCCCTTCCCTTTGTTTATACCTTTATTCTTCTATGGTCCGAGAATTAACTGTATTTATGGTTTTTTTGAATTTGAGTTTTTGCTAGATGTTGACTTTGTAACCAATTTAGGCATAGTTTTGCATGAGTGATTGGGTACAAAATTGTATATATTAGATCAAAATTTATAAAATATATTACCCACATTTCCTCTATTCTTTATATTAATCTACTTCATCTGTGAATTTCTGAGAGTTATAAATTTTCAAAATATATTTGTGGACTTATAATTTCCTCTTCATATTTTAGCAGGTTGTGCTTTACATGTTATAAAGTGATATTAAAAAGTATAAAAACCAACCACATGGCTGTTAAAATTATAAATAAACATATTGGCATGCTTCTCTTTTTATGCATTTGAACTATTTTCTTGGTCTTGATTTTCAGAAGGATGTGGCTTTTTGGGTCAAGCTGGCCTTTCACAGATTGGACAAATGTAGAGTATTGGCTCTGTGTGGAAATGTATGTTTTGTTAATTTCATTATATTTATTTATATTATATATAATCAGAATTATTTTAAGAAACAAAAATTGGGATATTTAAAATTTTTTTCTTTGATTTTTTTATTTCATCCAACTTTTTTTCCCTTTAGATCTGACAAAAGGTTGAATTTTCTTTTTTGAATATGGACTATTTGTTCTTGTCCTTTTGTACTTGTGTTTTCTCTATTTTAACTTGAGGAGGTTAAGCTCCTATAGCTCTCACACTGTAGGAATTATGTTTTTTTTCATTCTATGACAAAACACACATTGAAAAGGAAAAACTCCTACCCACCTAACCTGAACTACACCCCACCAACTGATTCCTCTGTTCTCCACGGACTGGACAGACCAGCAGCTTCAGCGTGGGCCACGCTGAAGACAGAGGCCTATGAAGCCTTGAGCTTGTGCAATTTGGGACCTACCTTTTCTTTTCTTTCCTTCTTTCTTTTTTCAAGTGGTAAGATTTTGATATTTTGACTAAACTGCAGTGGAAAGGAATGCCCAGCTAGATGACATGATTTTCCTGGGATTGACAGATTCCGATTACTAATTTGTGCCTTCGCTATTTTTTTCTTGCTTAGCCTGGGTAGAGGTTTTTCAGATCTATCTTTTCAGAGTCAGCTGTTATTTTCATTGATTTTTCTCTATTATTTCTTGTTTTCAATTTCATTGATTTCTGTTCTAACTTTAGTAGGTTTTTTCTTCTTGCTTAAGCTTAAACTCTTCTTATTTCCCAAAGTAGAACTTTAGATGATTGATTTTAGATCTTTTCCTTTTTATATACTGTATATGTATCCAGTGCTATAATTTTCTAAGCATGCTTTTGGTGCATTTCATAAATTGAGATCAATTTTCATTTTCTTTCTTTCTTTTTTTTTTTGTACTGGGGATTGAACTTGGGACCTTGCATTTGTGAGGCAGGCACTGGAACCATTGAGCTAAATCCTGTGCCCCAAATTTTCATTTTTATTTCAAAATATTTTTAAATTTTTATTTTCTTTTTCTTTTGTTTTTATTTTTGTTTTTGAGACAGGGTCTCACTACATAGTTCAGGCTTGCCTTGAACTCACTATGTAACCCTGGCAGGCCTTGAACTTGAAGTGATACTCTTGCCTCTCTCTCCCAAGTGCTGGGACTACAAGCTTTCACCATCATGCCCAGCTATATTTTTCTGGAGACTTCTTTGACCCTTATGTCATTTAGAAGTGTGCGTATCCAGATATCCTTCTGCTGCTAATTTTTAGTTAAATTCTATTGTGGTCTGAGACCATACTTTGCATGGCATCTATTAATTTAAATTGTTAAAATGTGTTTTATAGTACAGAATATAGTTTTTTGGTGACTATTCCATGTAAGCTTGGGAAGTCTATGTGTTCTGCTATTGTTGGATGGAGTATTCTGTAAGTGTCAGTTAGATCAAGTTAGTTGATAGTGCTGTTTGGGTGAAGTAAACTATTACTAATTCTCTGTTGCAGGATTTTTTAATTACTGAGAAGGGTGTTGAAATATCCACTTATAATACTGCATTTATTTCTTCTTACATTTCTACCATTTTCTATCTCACAAAATTTGATGTTCTGTTGTTAAGCGAATGCATGTTAGATTATTTTGTTTTCTTGAAGAACTGACCACTTTGACATTATGTAACTCCTGATAAATTTGCTGTTCTGGAGTCTGGCTTGTCTGAATGAGTGTAGCTGCTACCATTTTTTCCCCATGATGTATGTTTCCCCATCTATTTATAGTCCATCTAAGTCTTCATATTTAAAATGAGTTTTTTGTTTTTTAAAAGCTTATACTCTTTCTGGCTTGGTGTGGTGATCATACCTGTAATCCCAGCACTGTCTCAAAATGAAAAATAAAAAAGACTGGGGATGTAGCTCAGTGTCAGGCCCCTGTGTTCAATCCCCAGTACAGAAAAGAAAATCTGACAATCTCTGCCTAGTCCATCTAAGTCTTCATATTTAAAATGAGTTTTTTGTTTTTTAAAAGCTTATACTCTTTCTGGCTTGGTGTGGTGATCATACCTGTAATCCCAGCACTGTCTCAAAATGAAAAATAAAAAAGACTGGGGATGTAGCTCAGTGTCAGGCCCCTGTGTTCAATCCCCAGTACAGAAAAGAAAATCTGACAATCTCTGCCTGCCTTTTAGTGGCATATGTAAGCCATTTCCATTTAAAGTCATTTTAAAATCTTGTTGGGGGCAAAAGGAATCTCCATATTGTTGGTGAGAATGTAAATCAGTACAATCACTGTGGAAATAATTATGGAGATTCCTCAGAAAACTAAAAATAGAAGTTCCATTTGATCCAGCTACAGCCCTTTTGGGTATCTTTCTGAAAGAGTTAAAGATATCGTATTACAGTGATACATGCTTATTCATCTACACAGCGTCGCAGCTTGTAATTAAATCTTGTTATGGCCTATGATGAATGGATAAAGGAACTATGGCATATATACACAATGGAATAATGTTTAATCACAAAGAAGGGTAAATTTGAGTCATTTGTAGAAAAATGTATGCACCTTGAGACCATAATGCTAAGTGAAATAAATCAGGTACAGGAGGTTAAACAGTACATGGTTTTTAAAATACAGTATGAGAAACCCTAAATATAAAGAATTCATCTTTTAAAAACTTTAAAAATAATTGTTAGTACATGTTTGCTTCCATCGTGGGGAGTTGGTATATGTACATGATATTCTTTATACTTCCCCTTCCTTCTTCACCAAAATGTAAATAATTCAAAGGGCAAAGCAAAAAATGCATGATCAAAACCAGAATGGAGATATAGGCTTTGTGGAGATGGAAAGAGGATCTGGAGATGGAGGAGATGGAAGGTGGAGTAAAAAGAATGAAGATATGTATATGTACCAACTCCCCATGATGAGTATAATTATTATATATTGCAAACACATAGCAATAAAAAGAAGCTACAAAAATAAGTAAAACTATAGTTGGATTAAGATATACTATTTGTAATAATTTTCTATTTGTCATACTGCTCTTTGCTGATTTTCCCTCCTTGCCCATCCATTTAAACAATGTTTATCAATATTTTCCCAGAGATTGCTTGAGCAGACAGCCAGCACCATGCCTAGCTCTTCTGCGTGCAGCAAAATATGCTTGCTCATACCTGTGCCAAGTGAGGCACAAAGGTGTCCACACAGCACTGCCTGTGTGGTGGACATAGGGCAAAACACCCACAACTCATTAATGGGGTGGTGGGCCCTGAATCACTGCTCACTAGCCTAGGGAACACACTGAGGCAGCTAAAAGCCAGTAAATCTGCATGTACTGAAATAAAGCAAACTAACACATGTTGTTCACTGGCGGCAGTGACTTGCAGACTGTTATATACATTATGACTCTGTTATGTAAAAATTGTACGTGTGTAAGTGCATGGGAGAAACTCTGGCTTTATTCAAATTGACAAGTTGATGATGGGTTTGGGGAAACAAAAGGCTGTTGTTACAAATTTTTTTTCTAGCAAAAATGTATTCAGAAGCCTTTAAAAATGAAGGAGGCTTCAAAAGTGGTTTTCCCTCAGAAGGAGAGAACATATGCTGGACATAACCACCTCCTTAAACCTGGGCACTTGAGCAGCTCATCTGAAGCAGGAGCACCTGAGTCATGGTCACACTCAGAAATGCTAGGAGCAGAGATGCTCCCCGGTGCTGCCCTGCCCTCTTCTCTAGGACCAAGAGCAAAGTTATGCAGAGTGGACAACCTGGGTTCTATGAAGTGGACAGGGCAATGGCTGACCTGGTCAGAGCTTAACTCCCAGGACTCTAGGCAAGGAAAGTCCTGCTGGAGTGTGCCAGGAACCCCTCAGGTGGAGGGAGAGTCTGGAGAAAGGTCTGTTCATGTGGACCTGTTCTTCGTGTTCGGAATTTCTAGAGACCCAGGGGACAAACAGCTTTGTGCTTCTGCTCATAGCATCGCTAAAGTTCCCAGCAGGAGTCATTGAAAAACCTTCCCCTGAAGGCCCATCTGTGGGTGAAGAAGTCCCTGAAAAACCTTCCCCTGAAGTTGGGTGAAGAAGTCCGACACCAGTGCCCTGACTACTGGCTTCCCATGCAGGAAAAATGTAAAACTTCAGCTCTGTGTCAAACTATTCACACTCACAAAAATATATAGTCCAGACATAGTAAGACTAAATGTGGAAAGAAGTTTTAAAGACGTAACATAAAGGTAGAATTTCTTGAATCAAGACATAAAACTGCAAATTCATAGAAGTATAAAAATATGTTATCATATTTTTAAAAAAATTGTAAGTATGTAGGAGAAGAAGCCGGAGCATATAGCTCAGTGGTATAAAACTTGTGAAGCATGCATGAGTTCCCTGGGTTCAATCACCATCACTGAAAACAAAAAAAATACAGAGGACAAGAGTTAGTATGATGTTAAAAGATAAATTAGTAATAGATTTTTGCAATGCATAAAAGCAACAAAGGATGACTATCCACAATATATGACTTTAAAAAATAAGATAAAAATATCTCAGTGAAAAATGGTAAAAGCACAGTCCAAGCCAATACCCAAATAAAAAGACAGTAAACCTTAGTTCGACAAGTGAAATGCAAATTAAAATGAGTGATATTGCTTTATACACAGATTAACAAAAAAATGAACAGGCCTAATGATCAGGATATGGGCAAACAGGGCAAAGCTGATGGGAGTATAAATGGGTACAACGTTTTGGAGATAATCTGGAAATCTCTAGCAAAAATGGAAATGCTCTGGCCCTAGCATTTCTACTTCTATTTACCACTCAGAGAAACTTTGTTGTATACGAATGTCCACAAAAACACAAACAATAGAAACTGAGAATTTTTAATAACAGAAATTGGAAAAAACCTAATACTCAACAATCAGGGAATAATAAATAAATGGTAATAAATTAATGAAATATGACTCAATGAATGAACTAGAGCCACAGGCATCAAGAGAAATAATTGTCAAAAATATAAGGTTGAATGGCATAAACTTAAGAAAGGTATCACAATAGATATCATTTGTAAGATATAATCATATGCAAGCAATGCTATATATTCATCATTATATCATTATTTCTGGACGAATACTTACAGAATGAAAAGATTACAAGGATAAGCAGAAAAACCTGGGATTTAGCTCAGTGACTCAGCACCTGCCTGGCAAGTACAAGGTCCTGAGTTTGATCCCAGGTACCAAAAAACAAAACAAACATAAAAGTCTGAAGGCAGAAGCCACACCCTAAAGGACAGAGGGGCATGTGGAGGGTGGAACAGAGGCTGAGGGAGTGGGTCTCAGCTCTACTATTTTGTTTCTTGAAATAAAAGATCAAAGCAATTTAGTGAAATGTTACATTTGCTAAGTCAGATGACGGATAGCCGAGCATCTACTATATTGCTTGTAGGTCCTTTTCTTTATATTTGTCATATTACATAATTTAAAGCAACAAAACTGTTAAAATTCTGTCTTCTCTAGGTTAACTAAATAGAATAAGTAGACACAATGAGCACCTTTGATTCCACAGCTCTCCAGGTTAAACGAAACATCCTGTGTCAGATTTAGGCTACTCAGAAATGGGTAGAGTAAGTGGGGCATTGTGTGCAGACCTGTAAATCCCAGCCCTGCGGGAGGCTGAGGCAGGAGGATTGAAAGCCCAGCCTGGGCAACTTATTGAGACCCTTTCTTAAGAAAAGGCTGGGGATGTAGCTCAGAGTGAAGGCCCTGGGTTCAGTCTCTAGTACCATAACAAAAACAAAACAAAACTAGAATATAATGTAATAACAAAGATAATCAATTAATGCTCCTATGTGAGGTTGGTAGTACCATTGTTCTTGTTTTATATTCAAAGTCAGAGAGGTTAGTTCACTTGCCCAGGTCACACAGGCAGCCCAGCCTAACTACTGAGACACCTGTCTGTCCCTGCTTCCCTGATCCACCTGACCTCCAGTCTCATCTCTTCTCCCTAGCTGCTTACTGTATAGCTGGTTTTACCTGCTTTGGGTTATGGATGCTCTTGAGAAAATCAACTTTATTTTTTGCCACCCCCTCCCCCAAGAGCCCAGTAACTCCAAATTTTATCAGGCTGCACTGGCCTTCTCCCACGTTTCTTTCCACGTTCATGAGGCTTGCTGCTCCTGAAAGTCTCAAGGAACATCTGGGCTCTGACCCATGTCTGGAGTAGGTAAAGCTTTGGAGTTCGGCTGCCGGGGTTGAATCCTAGCTCTCCAGTGTATTAATGCTGTGTGGTTCCCAGCAGCCCCTCAGACTCTCTGACCCTCTCTGACCCTGCTCCTCACCAGCTAAAGAGATTACTGACACCTACTTCATCCCGTTGTTACCGAAGTAAACAAGAACAGGAGCTCACAGCCGTCAGCGCAGAGCCAGCCCCTGAGAAGTGCACAGCTGTGTTATTCTACTCACACTGCATCCAGGAAGCGAAGCAGGGTCTTGTCCTGGCAGTGCCCCCTTGATTGAAGTCCACACCGGGCTCCTTCTGCCCTGGCCCAGCCAGGACCATCACCACGGCCTCGAAAACTGAAATGAGGTACAGCACCAATTTTGGAACCAGCACTGACCCCCAGGAGGCACCACCACCCTCCTGGGGCATACGCCTTCAGAACCTTCCGAAAATCACAGTTTCATTATTAGCACCAAGTGGCGATGCTCTCTGAAGGCAGGGTCTTGAGGTCCCACCCTCCTGCTTAGAGAGCCTGACCCTGTCCCTCCCCTCCCACCTTCCTCCTTTGCAGAGGCGGGAGATATAGCTCAGTGCAAAGGCATCAAACCTCAGCACCAATCAATCCATAATAAAAGAAAATGAAAAGGTGGTGAAAATGTGGAAAAGAGGGAACTCTCAGACACCACTGGTGGCAATGCAAATTAAATTAGCACAGCTACTACGGAAAATAGAATGGAAATTACTCAAAAAAGTAGAGCCAGAATTACCACAGGAGGCTCAATCCAGTTACTGGGTACATCTTCAAAGGAAATGAAATCAGTATGTCCAAGACACATGGCACCCCATTGCAATGCTGCAACACAAAACACAGTAGCCAAAATACGAAGCCAATCTAGGAGTTCACCAGAGGACCGGATAAAGATGTCAACTCTATACATGTACACGCACACACAATGAAACATTATTCCTCCATAGAGAGGGGTGAAACGCTGTCATTTGTGTCAACACCTATGGAGATGGAGGACGTTATTAAGTGAAGTAAAGTCAGACACAGAAAGAAGTACCGTCTATTCTTACTTATTTGTGAAAGCTAAAAAAAATTAATGTCATAGAAGTAAAGTGTAAATTACCAGAGGCTGGGGAGGGCAGGGAGAGGAAAGGTGCTTGGTAAGTACAGCGTGAAGTTAGATAGAAGGATTAGTTTCTGATGTTCTACAGCACAGTAGGGTGACTCTCCTTGGCAACATATATTTATTTATTTACTTTCGGTTTTTGAGACAGGGTATGACGCTATAGCCCAAGCTGGCTTGGAGCTCAGTGATTCTCCTGCCTCAGCACCCCCAGCGCCGAGATTACAGGCCAATGCCACTACATCCTGCTAGTTGGCGAAAATTAATTGTATATTTCAGAATAGGTAGTGGAGAGGATTTATACTATTCCTGTGATAAAGCAGTGATAAATGTTTGAGATGATGGATATGCCAATTATCTATTGGATCCTCATGCACTGTATACAGGTATTAAAATATTAATAAGTATGTATAACAATATATGCCAATTGAAAATAAAGTGTATTTTTTTAAAAAAGCTAATAAAACATATATACCCATGAAGCCAGTAATTCCAATCTGGACAATTTCTCCAGGGGATATGATGTTCCGGCTCAGCACAATTGAGATGTAAAAATGTTGGAAGCATTCAGAACATTAAAAGAAGATATATTTGAGTAAATGATGATAATCCACTCAACATAGTGTTAAGCATTAACAATTTAGAGTATCAGGACTGTGAAAACTATGTAGAAAATAGGGGAAATGTTCATAGTATACTTAATAAAAACATGCACTCAGCATGATTATTGTGTTGTGAAAGGTGTTTAGAACACATGAGGTAAATACACATCAAGATGCCTTTCCCTTGCTGTTTTCTTCCCTCAGGTAACTAAATTTCAGCAATGTGTATTACTGCAACTAAGTAACTTTTACAAATAGAAAATGTGCAGACTCCTGACTTCCCTCCCTACTCTGCACTGCAGCTGGTCTTCAGAGCTGAACTTTTCTTCCTGTGCCCGGAATTGTCTATACCATTTAGACAGAGCTGTGAGTCGTTCATTGTGTTTGTTTCTTTTTCCTCAACGTTTTTTCTTGAGGAAATGGGAATAGAACCCAGAGCCCTTGCACTGAGTTATTTCCCCACTCCCAACCACTTTTTTCTTTTTTGTTGTGAGACTAGGTCTTGCTAAGTGGCTAAGTTGCCCAGGCTGGGCTTGAACTTGTGGCTCTGTTGCCTCAGCCTCCCAGAGTGCTGGAATTATAGGCCTGTGCCACAATACCTGGTGTCAACCATTTTTTTATACAGTTTTTAAAAATTGTGGTAAAATGTACACAAGGCATAAAACTTACCTTGACCAAGTGTGCAGTTCAGCAGCATTAAGTACATTCACAGCCTGCAACCATTATGCAACCTTTCATGGTTGGAACAGAAACTCCCTCCCCATTAACACCCACTTTCTGTTCCCCCTCCCACACCCCTGGTAACCGAAGTTCTATTTTCTGTTTCCATGAATTTATTTGATCGTTCCAGGTACCTGCTCTAAGTGGAATCAGGCTGCATTTGACCTTTTCGCATGACCACTTTTAAAAGCTCTCTGAGAATAAGGACCAGGGTGTCGATTAAAATTCGTGAACACAATGCTCACTGGCTCATCGACGTACTGTTTATTGTGCACCCACAACACGTGCTGGGCACTGTGCAGCAGGGGTCCCACTACTCACGCTGAACTAGTTTAAGTCTTTGAGCTGAGTGTGGTGGGGCCGAGAGATCAAGGAGAAATGGAAAGAGATAGGGAGCCGTGCTCAGAGAGTGAAGGCAGGGACTGCTATGGGCTTCTGGGCAGGGGGAGGGTTGGAGGGTGGGGGAGGGGTTTCCTGGGGGAGGTTGAGGAGAGGAGGACCCTGAAGGTCCAGGCAGGGGCTTCAGAGCCTGAGGAGGGAGGGGCTGCCACACAGCATGTACATGAGTGTGTGTGTGTTTGTACACTTGGGAAGATGCAGGTCCCAGGGACAGTGCTAGGGAGGGTGCATTCTAGGTGCAGTGGGAACCTGGTGTGGGAAGACCCTCTCTTTACTGGGCCTGAAAACGAAAGGGGAGGGCCCGGGGCTGTGACCTTGTGCACAGTGGGGACTGTGGGACAAGTGCCAGTATGTCAGGTTGGGAATGGAAATCCCAGCACTCTGGAGGCTGAGGCAGGAGGAGGTCTGAACCATGAGTTCAAGGCCAGCCTGGGCTACGTAAGTGAGACCCTGTCTCAAAACAAAGACAAAACAAAAAAACAAAAGCAACCATTTAGATTCAGTATTTCTAACGTTCATAACTACTGCTCTTAAATAATGAACAAAGCCCAGAAAAGAATATTTTTTGAGGGTATTTCTCCAGGCTCTTTCAAAGGTCAGAGCAGCTTCTCTGGGCCTATTGGTTTCCTTCATAGCTTCTGAGATGGCTCTGGGCACACGGAGGGGACTGGGACAGAATGGGGACAATGCTGCATCTGTGCTTGTAGGTGATCTTAGCAGCATGGGGGGAGGGTGTTCTACAGGAGGAGGGGGTGCCCTATATAACATCCCCACAATAAAGGTGCAGGTGCACAGGTGGGACCCAGAGGCAGCAACTCTGCCTGGGGAGTGATCAGCCTCCTCCAGGGTCTCCCGCCCTGTTCTTGGGCCATTCTTTTTCATTTCTTTGGGACAGTCTGGGGTACTCAGGGTCCTTTGATCACTTTAATCTGATCACATCTGAATGGGTAACTGTCGCAGCAAACCCAGGCATGCAAACACAGAGGCTTGTGGCGGGCTTGCGGTTGCTGTGATCGTGCCGGAGTCAGACAACTGTGGCGGGCGGCACCAGGCACGTGTCAGGTGGGACAGGTAGATGTCCTGGCCTGGAAGAGACTGAGACCAGGGAACTGGGGTGAAAGTCGGTCCAGCCTCCTATTGGCTGATGGCTGAGTGTGTATGACACTTCTTAAAAAAAAAATAGCAGAAAATGGTGAGCAAAGAAAATTGCTGCACCATTCTTTGCTGCCACATACAAGTCCGAATAAATGGTCCATAGTCCATAAGGAGGTATGAGAACCTCCTTCAAAGGAGGATGGACCGTTCCTGCCCATGCACCCCACGCTGCTTCCCTACCACTGACAGTAGCAGGCTGTGTGACATAGCACAGGTCTGTCAGCTGTCCCCAAAGACAAACCACAAGAAGCAGCAGCAGGCCGCCCTGCAGAGGGGCATGCAGGGGCAGTTGGTCACCGGCCGGAGGTCCTACCTGATGTGTGGGCACTCCCAGCCACTTCTGTACTTCTCTGAGCTCTGATAAATCTGTAGACCAAGCAGGCTGAGGCCCCTTTGTTTTCAGGTGGTTTTTAGAAAGTGTCATTTATCGTATACCCATGTACCCTTGAAAACCTGGGAGGAAGTGTGGTCTCTTGGGGAGGCCGTGTCAGCAACACCAGGGCCCGTGTTGTCTTTCTGGCTCTGCCCCTGGTCAGAGGGGTCCACAGGGCACAGGAGGGATGAGGCTGTCACACCCACACCCACTTTAGCCAGTAACACCTTCCCAGTTGTGTGGCCAGAGACAGAGCTGTGAAAGCCACAAACTCCTAACATCAAAAACAAAACAAAGAGCAACTCTAACATATTGATTCTCTTGCAAACAGTGGAATATTCTGAGAGTCTAGTGCAGTGACAGTTTTGTAAAAAGGAACTGCTAATCAATGCATAGTGATAACATTGAACTCACTGGGCCAGGGGAAAGCAGATGACCTAGCATGGGCAACAGTAAAGTTAGTTGAATCACTTGCGCACTGCTGCATGGAAAGAACCCTAACCCACAATCTTAATCCCCTCCGTGTAGACACCTTCCTGTGCCGCCACTGGGGGAAGAGGTGTGACATTCGAAGCTACCCACTTCCTTAGGAAAGAGTACAGCAGGCACAGGATTATTCCTGTAAATGACAGGGTCACTCTTGCTCCTGTGCACGGTGGGAGGTTTCTTGAGTGGGATAGAAAGTGTGGGATGAAGCTGGCACAACCAGAACTGCCATGTGTAGACATTGTTGTGGGTTTTCTTTCTTTCCTTTTTTTTTGGGGGGTGGGTTTGAGACAGGGTCTTACTATGCAGTTCAGACTGACTTGCACCATGTAGCCCAGGCTCACTATGTAGCCCAGGCTGGTCTCGAATTCACAGCGATCCTCCTGCCTCAGCCTCCCGAGTGCTGGGATTACAGGTTTGTGCTACCATGCCCAGCTTTACTGGATTTTGTGGCAGAAAAAAATGGTATCTTGGTGCATTAGTCAAAACTGCAGGCTGGGCATTGTGGTGCGTGCCTGTAATCCCAGCTCTCTGGAGACTGATTCAGGAGGATATCTGAGAGTTTGAGGTCAGCCTGGGCTACATATTGAGTTCAAGACCAGCCTAAACTACATAGTGAGACCCTGTCTCGAAACAAAAACAAGCACCTGTTGTCAAATGAAAGCCATTGGGTTAACTTTTTTTCCTTAAATTCTTTTATTGGCATATTTCCGGTATACAACACATTTACATTAATCATTAGGAACTTGTACCTTTACACAGTGTATCTTGGTTCTTATTTTTTCCCTAGTCCACTGCCCTCCCTTCAACACCCCCACCCCTCCCTATTTACAAAGACTTTGTTTCCATTTTTTCTTTTTCCTTTCCCCTACCCCTCCCACTTTCCCTACTCCTTTGGACCTTTTCTTCCTATTTCACATTATCAATTATTTATTTTAATCCTTACACTTTCAGTTTCTCACACAAGAGGGGTAGACTTGTTTTTGAGCATTTCTTGAAAGCTTGCAGGGACTTCCTTTGAGGAAAAAGCTTTCTGGCAGCATCATCGAAGCGGAAAATGAGTGGCCTGGGGAGTGAGTACTTTGTCTCAGGAGGTACTCACATGGGGGGTGAGCAAGCACTTGGGGAGGGGGGTCATCAAGGAGACTCATGTATTATTTTGGAAGCTAAGTTAGGTAGACTTCAAGTTCATTTTCCAACCTTAGAGATCTACAACTCTGCACTAATGGATCTGATCTTGCCAGCTATAAAATATTTGGCTTTTAGCTGTAGTTTGTTGTTGCTTCAGCCACAAGTAGAGAGCCCATAGGTGGCTTACATGCACCCACCGTGAGTGACAAGTCTAGTTACACTTGCAGGACCTGAGGGCAAACTGCCCTGGCTCTTGGCCCTGGGAAGACATCTCCTCCAGTTGTCACTGGTGGAGGAGGGATTTGGGTCAGGATCTGTGTTGCTTTCCAGCCTGTGACCTGACTGAGCTGAGTCTGGGGGAGGATGCTTGTGAAGTGACAGGGTGCCTGTGTGCTCAGGGGCTCACTGTGACAAACAGTACGGCACCCAGCACACAACAAGCTCACTAGATGTAGCTGGTGGCTGCAAAGGAGGGAAGTGCCCATAAACAACAGGGGGATGAGAGGGCCACCCGGTCCCTTTCAGTGATATTGCATGTGGCAACGCTTGCCTGAAAATAAGTAGAAATTTCGCATGCACAACTGTGTGTGTGTGTGTGTGTGTGTGTGTGTGTGTGTGTGCATGTGGGATCTACAGACACGTTTTTCACATAGATAAATAAAGTAGGTCATCTAACTTCAGAAATATGAATTTATTTTCCTTTTTCTTATTTGATGGGTTTTTTTTCCGTCTCAAGATTTTCCAGCACAAGAGCTTCTCTTGTCACCTCACGTCTAGAGCTGAGCCACCTTTCAGATGGCTGCAGGCACAGAGTGAGAGCCCCTCGGAGGGCTGGGGCTGCCAGCAAGGGCGCAGGAAGCTGTTCATGTGTAATAGGTTCAGCCTTACAGTGTGGTCACCTGGCATCAAAGGCACTGTCTTCATAAAGGAAGATCTGGGAAACAGAGCAGCAGAGAGAGGAGGAAAGGAGAATGTTGTTATGGCCCCAGCTGCAAAGATACAGCATGCCACCTCTGCTGTACGGGCTTCCGGGTACCCTCACTCGCTTTAAAAGGGGCCATCTGCTAACTGCTGTAGTAGTATTTCATAATTTTTTAACAGTGATCGCTCCCTCTCTCTCTCTCTCTCTCTCTCTGTTTCGAGACTGGGTCCCATGGTGTCCTTCAGGCTGGCATTGAACTCATTACTATTAGTCCATGTTGGCCTCAAACTCAGGCTGGGCTTAAACTTGCAATCTTCCTGCCTTAGCCTCTGTTGGGATTACAGACCTGTACCACCACACCTAGCTTTTCTTGTCAATATACATCACACACACACACACACACACACACACACATACACACACCTTTTATTTCAAGATAGAGCTTATTTTCTTAACTTCTTTGGCTATAAATATGATATACACATGGAAGTACTGTACATGTAGAAGAGGAAGGTAAAAATCACTTAC